TGACTAAAGTAACGATTTATGATATAGAAGCAATGATCGTAATGATCAAGATTAATTAAATAATTAAAACTGAACTTGCACATTACGTTCACATATGCGGGCTGTTCACTGTAGCAACAATTTCCGGAATAAAAGCCTTTTTAAATTGTTGATAATGAAATATTCGGCTGTCAGTCGTATTACATTCGTGACATTAATTATTTGTTTAATTTAATATCTGAAATTTGATTCTCTCTCTGTCTCTCTCTCTCTCTCTTCGAGAATAATCCTGGCCCCTCGCTGTTAAATTAATTAAACTCCCATGTTGCCGATATAATCGTTTGCACTATGATGTTTCAGCAACGAATATCTCGGATCGCAGATCTCGTTTGATGTATGTATGCTCCTCCAATTCTGCTTCCGACAGACAATATCTTCCTCGTGTCAATATTACTGCCACAGGCAGATAGGGAAATCGCGGCCTTTTATGCGAGGATGTTCACCGCGCAGATCGGTGAAATAATTTTTTTTTATGTGTGCACTGGCTACGAAATAACTAGATTTATTAAAGTCGTCCCCGTCTTCGTATTACGTCCGGGCAGACTGTATAATTAATCGGCAGCCACGGGACGTGACAGAAAAATCGACGTCCCGTCGTCGTGACGGATGACGCCGCGCGGCTGCGACGGGAAGCGGCTATATGTGAGTTATCCTATTAAATATTCAATTATTTCTGCCTTCCACTCCTGACGTCTGGAATTCGCTCGGCGCGACGCTGCTCCGCGCCGAGCCAACGCCGCGCCGGCGGCAGCGGGGCCAAGCTTAATCCCTATTCATAGACTCAATCGAGTGATTTCGAATAAATCCTTCCAGCGCGTTCCGCGAGATCCGCTGCAATTAAAATACTTTAATATCCTTTGGAGCACGTATCCGCCCCGGGCAATGCCTTCGCCGCTCGCGAACCTTTCGCCCAAACTCGCTACCGCCGCCGCCATCGCCGCCGCCGCCGCTGCCGCCACCGCCGCCGCTGCCGCCGCCGCCGCCGCTGCCGCGCCGCCACCGCCCATTCCCAATTTCTTTTTGGTACGGTTGCTCTTATTAAACGTCCCATTCCTCTTCGAGAAAGCACGTTCACCTCTCATTCAAAGCCTTTATACAGGAAAGGCAAGTCTGGCAAATTCGGACTCTCCCGCCGATTTCCCGTATTGCAACGAGTAGTCGTGCAAATAGTCGATTTCGCAATATGGCTTTACAAAGCCACGATTCGCTTTGAGGCTAACGAATGTTTAAACGATGAAGCTAGAACTAAGCCGACATACCTTTCCAGCACTGTGTAATTTGTGATTGTATATACCAAAGTGGTGGGTATTCTCCGGACATCTTGCAGCATGTTGGGAAAACTTTCAAACAAAGATCGAAGTAAAAACGTGAAAATAATTTATCACGGTTCTGTCGGATGATCTATCACGCCGATACATTGGACGCAGGAACATTTTGCAAGGAGAAACGGGAGGGGCGTCAGCTGTGTGAAATTGCTTAAGGGGAAGTCGATTTTTATACGATCGTCATTCGGAGATGGCTTACAAAGCGGGGATATCAAAACTCCAATGATATATCCAGAATAATTCCGAGATACTGTTTCGAGTCTGCAATTTTATTAACTGTGAAGTCCGCAATTTATGCCCGAAGAAATAATTATCAGTTGCTGTCAGTTTATAAATGTCTTTGTTTTATCGATTAAATTTAATTTCTTTAACTGTATTATACCTATATTCTTTCTTCTTATTGCCATTTTTCTGATATATTTAATATTTTAGTTAAACAATATTTTAAAATATTAATATCTTATAACGACATTATATTTTTGAGGAAAAAAAGTGTGACAAAACTAGTGTCATTTTTTATACTTTTTAGATAGTTTAATATTTTTATTATATATATAAAATTTTATTACATATATAAAAAGTTTTATATACAAACTTCTTCGTAATTTATTGATGAACATTTTATTTGTATAAAAATAAAACGCTCATCAATAAATTACGAAGAAGTTTCTATATATAAAACTTTTATACTTTTATATAAATATATATAGACACACACACATAGTATGATGAACACGTATGTTTTTAACGTAGGCATCTGTGTGGTATTAGAGGATTGATTTTTATTGCACGTCGCTATGTCGATTTTTCATGTAGTTACAGCGTTTAGAAAATCTAGCGGGTATACACCATTCATGAAAGAGCGCCGTGCGCACTTTTTGGATGTAATTTGACAGGTGTGCTAATCCGTTACTAAAAAAAAACAGGCGCGAAAACGTGTACAGTACACATGCTTTGTAACGTGATAGACAACGCGTCGAGACAACCGCGTACACGCGCTATTCAACTCTGCTACTAGATCGAAAAATCACACGGTTGATATAATCGTCAATATCTTTGCACAGAAAAATTGCAGCGAAATAATCTCGTTCGAAAGCTATGACTCTATCGTTTTCAGTTCATGTTTATTGCTCATGCTCTCAAATTGTTCGTTTGCGAGATATCAATGATTAATTATGAAAATAAATTTTTTTGTCTGAAAATCTCTATCTTTAAAGACATTCTTCATCGAGATGGATAATAATCATCGATATCTCCACGAAGAAAAAATACAGCGAGAACTTGATCTCATTCGAAAGCTATGATTCTATCACTTTTCATGAGTGCCAGATTGTTTATCTCGGACAATTAGTTTGCAAAAATAAAATTTTGCTTCGAAAGTTAATTTTCGTCATTTAAAATAGAAATCGCTGTATGTTTAAATTAATTTTTTATTATTTTATGTCATATTTTTAGTTCGAGAGGATTAAAATTACGTAATTCTAATAAATCAATTATTATTGTTGTAATTTTGATAAATTATGAAAATAAAATTGTCAAGTTATTATGATCATGTGAGCATAAATCATAATACAACGATCGCATGGGAGTTTGCTCGACAGTTTCAACGTCAATTATATTATTAAGCGTGTAATCTAATAGAAAAGATGTGAAATATCGCCAATAAGCGACTAATATATTACATACTCACTTCTATTTGAATTATTCGATTATTCATTTGTGTATGTTGTTTCGCTCTTTCAATTAAAACATAATAATGGACAAATTATGTTTATACCGACGAAAAGTTCAAAGCGCACACAATACAAAATATATTCTAATTTAAATGTCTCTAATATTTTATTACAATCTGATTTTTGTAAAATAATAAGTTTTAATAGTTAAAAAATTGCTGAGATGTTAGTGCAACGATAAGAGTATGTTATGTCAATTTCAAAACACAGATTTATAATTTACTATGCGAGAAATTTTTCTGTGTTTAATTTTGGCAGAAAATTCTTCGTCCCCTGTCGCAATTTACTTCAAGTTGGCTTCGTTCATTTCCCGGCCAAATTGGCTGAATCCCGGAACTTACCGGAAATGTCGTGCTTTTTTTTTGGACCAAGTCGCCTGGCCCTGTTTCATGCGAAACGGCGCCGCATCTCACGAAGTTCGCCAAGGATTCTGTACCGTTAACACAATCGAGCATGCCTTGGCAACGTTAAAGGCGAGCGGTGTCTTTAGTAGAATGGCCCACCACCCTTCCCGTGATTATGGCCGGCCTATATAAAAGTTTCGCCACGAAACTCCGCGTCTGGCGATACATGGAATCCACTTCTTCTCTCTTCCGCCTTCAGCTCTTTCCCGATATCTTTTCGCGTTTTCTTCCTCTCCTTCTCCTCCCCCCCCCCTTCGTAATTCCCTACCTTTCATGAGTGTGTCTTCCGACTACGCTCTTCCCTTGTTCCCCAGGATAGTTCCACATTCGCGGGAGCGGTATACTTTGAAGTAGCCAATCCGACAGCTGTGCCGAATCCGCGGCTTCGCTGTAACGAGGTCGACAGAGAGAAGGGGTGAACCGGTGATGATAGTGCCGAAATAATGAAGAAAGAAAAAGGCTACAGCTAAATGAAAGTTTGGCGGCAAAGGGCAAAAGAGAGGCCAGCGAATTGATATCGGCTCTCTCAGAGTTACTTCCGCGTTTACCTATAAATAAATCGAATGACTGTCCTTTCGGATTTTTCTTTTCGATTATTTTCGCCAATTCAAGTATTTTCTGTTCGAAATTAATAATGCAAGTGCTATCGCCGCCATATATAATAAATTTTTAATACCACTGCAATGACGTGTCGCACTTCAGATTAACGTATTGCGTAATTATTTTAATTATCTTGTGAATAATTTGAACGAAAGATTTGCCACAGCTTTTCCCTTCCTTTCTCTCTCTCTCTCTCTCTCTTTCTCTCTCTCTCTCTCTATTTTTATTTCTCTATTTCTCTCTATCTCTCTCAAATTAAGAATAAACAAATAGTCTGTCAATACAATTTTAAATCCACTATCCAAGAGCTTTTAATTACGTAAACGATACGCGTTTCATAATCAGTATAATTGGGTTATCTGAATAAGTGGTTGACGTCGTTTTAAAAGCGCAACAATTTCGGTAATAATATAAGCGAGATAAAATCATTAATTAACATTTTCATAATATTATCTTGGCTCTAAAGTAGCTTTTTACGATCTAATTTTTGTGTCTAATCCATGCTATTGTTAACAGGGAATCACGTACATATGACATTCTGCCACATACATTTCTGCTGAAATAATACGTCCACAAATTAACATCATTATGCGTCACACAGGAAAAAATTAACGTTCTAAAGCTAAAACTGTAACGTTAATTAAACTCTCACTTTTGCCCTGCTTTTGTCTTGCCAATGGTTTCGTAATTAATTATCGAATTGCGTGTATGGCAATTTTGTCTCTATGAAAAATGTCGCGAAATCGCGAACGCCGAGAGAAGTCGCTTGCAGCCAACTCGCTCGACTGACGCGAACTGCGCCGACTGCGCGACGACGTTAACGCAAATCCGCGGACCGTGCGTGCTGTGTTTCCAGTGCGTTAATTCGTATATCCACGAGCTTTCCGCTTGTGTTTCAGACAATGGACCGCCCCCCGTGGAGCAGAGCGATGACGGATGGTTGAACTTCACAAAAATCACTCGGGCCGAGAGCGGCTGGTACAAGTGTTATACGCGGCATATGCTCGGCATTTTCACCAGCATCGGATATTTTCTCAACGTTCGCTGTGAGTAAATCGTTGTCACGCCACTTTGTCGCTTTCAATAGCATATACGTAGGACTTCCCCGTGCATTCGGGCGGAAACGTCAAGTTAATAAATGTATCTCCTTCGATGAAAAGAAAAGGAAGAGTATTCCTTCGAAAAGAATAGTTTTGTAGGTTTTCGTAACTTAACTTGCTAAATGGAAAATTCTACAATACCTTCAGTTATCAATTTTTATAATCCTACAATTAAAATAATAAACCTTTATATTGACAACATGGAACTATTACGGTTGACAAAATAATACAATAAGATATTACAAAATAATTTAATTATGGTAGACATTTCTTTTATGTATTTTCTGAACGTATTGCTTTATGTTCATACCGTATTGAATACCACATAACTGTATTACTTTTTAAGCAATTAATCTTTAATTTGTATCATAATATTTGTATTTTTACACTTTTTGTCTGAATTATGTTATTATTAAAAATCTTGTTCTAAAAAAGGAAAATGAAAAGTATTGCCTAGAAGTTTTAAAGTTCATTATATTTCTTTATTTCATAAGAGTATAATGTAAATTTAAGTATAGTATAATATACTAGTAAAAATTTTAACTAGTAAAACATATAAAATTAAAATTTCTTTTCGGTGTTTTGAGTACCTCACTTACTAACTTACATATTTTTAGATTTACTTACTTGAAAGTTAACAGAATGTAAAAATACAAAAATTCTTTTACTAATTTAAGAATATTAGGTATTTAGAACTTTTATGAAAATAAATTTCTTTATACTAACTATATTCTTGAATATAGAACACAACAGTCTGCTAAGTTATGTTTTTATAAATCAGTAAATTAAATTTAGTAAATTAAATAATCAATAAATTAAAATAATGCTATTTTTAATGTAAAACATGTATAAAGCAAAGGTAGCGCCGACGAAAGATACCTAATTACGCTGCAGTGCATCTTTTACCTGATGTATTGTCTACCCCCTATGCATTTGATAGCGCTCGAAGAGACATTCCCCCTGATTCGGAATGCGAAGGGGCTCGTCGCTGCAGCCAATAACCGGATACCACAGTCATTTGTCAAGGGCGGAAACCACCGAGCCAACCGGAAATTATCCGTGCCCCGTCGTGAAAATTTGCAAATTTCCTACCTAGCCCCATTCCTTCCATCTTGCCATTATAACCAGAGGGCGATGCGCTCCCTGCATCTCAAACCCGCTGCCCTCGTCTCTCTTTCCCCATCCTCTTGTCTTCTATCTAGTTCTCTACTCTTCTCTATCACTCTCATCCTCCTGCTTTCTCTCTCTCCCGATCTCTCGTCTGCTCCTTCGACCGACGATGCTGGATACGGGCTTCCGAGCACCTAATCTCTACGCAATTTAGATGGCTCGAGAGCACCTATAAACCAACCATCCTCCTTCGTGGGAATTATCGATTACACTGCTACTATGTCCTGTTCGAATCTCCTCCTGGATTACTTATCCGCCGGATAACGTCAAGGCGGGTTTAAACCGACGCGCTAATTTCGCCGGCTTGTAGACAGTCTACAGATAGGACGTAGTTTAAAGGGACAGGAGTGATAAGACCAGCGCCATCGGCAGGCGAAGAACAGATTTTTCTCGTGAATGTTACCAGTATATAAATGGTGCGAATTTACACTATTTTTTAGACATATATTATGTATGTGCTTAAATATAATATTTTATAATTCTTATTAACATTATACAGAAAAAGAAATTATTATATGTATTTTAAATTACATCCACCAGAAAGTTACTTAATGATAGTATGTGATGTTCTATAATGTTCAAATATTCGATTCAACAAAGCATCTTGGATGTGCATAATTCAATTAGCAGGAACACGAAAGGCATATCAAAGTAATTAGAGATAACGCGATCACAGACGGACGAGTATATGAGAACCTTAATCACCTTAGCGCACGCGAATCGCATTAAGATTTAGGACGATCACAAGCCGCTACTGTAGAAGAAGAGACGCAGATCAAATTTGAAGATAACGAGAGCTGTTGAAGAGAGGAGAATAAAGCTGGCTGACGAAAAACGTCAAATTATCGAGCCTGATTACCGGGCCCTCCGTCCTCTCCCTTTTCCTTTCCTGTGTTTGTTAAAGCGCCACAGCGGCTGGTGTTTGCTGTAAAATTCCGAACAAACTACAAGACAAACGAGGTATAGTTGGGAGCCGAGCGACCGTGAGAGGAAGTGAAAGCCTCCTATCGCATCCGCACCACTTTGATCCCTTTGTTTTGCTATAGGATGAGCTGGAGGATCAGCTTGCTAACTCAAAGGACTGCTACCTTCCATCCCCCTGCCCCGCTTCTTTCTCTTTCTCAGCCGAATTCCGCAGTAGCAGTCCGGCTCTAATTCCCGAGCAGAGATACGAGCAGCTCCCGCACACCATCTACTCTCTTGTCCCTCTCTTCGCATTTTCTCTGTCTCCCTCTCTGTCTCTCTCTTCTCTCACTCATTCCTTCTCTCTCTCTCTCTCTCTCTCTCTCTCTCTCTTTACAATTGTGGACATAGCGCTAGCTCGAGAGCAAACAATCGTAGCCGTATAATTCCATAGGTGGAATCGGAAAAGGACGGGAGGGATGAGGAAGGGTAGAAGTTGAAACCGACAGTAACGTCGCGGTGGGGAAAAGATTTTGTCGAACCCGGCACGTGAGGGGGTAGAGAGATACTGCCCGAACTTTATCTCTCGTACGTGCCGCTGATTTCTGATACCACAGTAGTTCCTCGATATCGATGACGATGGACGATGTCGAATCAGGAATTTAATATTACGGTAAAAGATGAATGTGCTGAAAAATTATGTTCGGCATATTTACAGTTTGTAAAAACTACTAATTACAGTAGTTGCGACACACTTTAACATTTTTTTTCGTGACATTTAGGAAAAATTTGTGTATAAGTGTGGAATTTAAGATATAACGAACATATGTGAGAGCACGTTAGGTTTTTAGATGGAAATATATAAAATTTTATTTGAAGATATTACGATACTTTTATAATGAGTGACCACATATTTTTCATCGCGTTTTTGCCATATTCACGAAATATAGAAAATTATAGGAGAAAAATATAGAAAATAGGAAAAAAGTGTAAAAGCGTTCCTGACGTGCTATGTCCATATTGTAAATTACTTTCTGTGCATTATCTCATCTTCCTGCAATATGTGACCACGTAAATTTAAGTCCGACTTTCAAGTTTGCCGCTCGTTGAGAGATTTAAATCAATGGCATTTAGATGATCCAGATATGGAGACCGAAGCAGAAGCGTTGAACGGTGAAGCGACCGATTCTCGAAGGATGGAGGTACAGATCGGCGGTGCTGTGACCCTCGAGTGCGACGGCGGTTGTTGGGGCCACGGACCTGGAATGGATCCGGTGGGTGGGCCCGGGCCCCTCGCTCTGAGCCGGGTGGTGTACCAGGAAGCCGGGGAATATCGATGCGTCGCGCCCGATCGGAAAATGCAGGACACGTGGCGAGCTCAGTTACCCTATCACCTCAAGGTTACCGGTGAGTCCGATAAAATCTCTACCAGACTAGACTGCCAGATTCCCGACGTTTGCACCGCACGTTGGTTTTTTTCCCCCTCCCGTATACCTTGGCTCGCTCGCGTATATCAGCGGCGCGCGTGTGCGTGAACTCTCCCTCTGAACTCACAGGGAAACGATTTTTTTTCTGTCCGCGAACGCGGCGAGCCAAATGCGATAGAGATTATCTGAAAACCGATTAGACGTTCACGGCGCGCGTCCGCGAGTTACAAATTGAATTGCGATTCACATGACGTTGATAATGCGCGAGATGCATTGTTGCCGCGATTGGTATCTGACGAACATAACATTGTGCAGCGTGTCGCATTGTACCTGGCCGCATTGTAGGTTGCGGCTAACTACCTTGCCCGCTATCTGGTTCTAAATTTAATTATAACAGTCGACATTGAATTAACCGTGTTACGGTGTAACCGTGTTACGACGGTAACACATTAATTATCGGCTTAAACTTTTGACGACCTGCTGAGGAGTATGGCAGAACGTCGTGCGGAGTTAATGCATTCCTTTAATCCGTTTAATGCAGTTACGTTTTCGGCAGAACAAATAAACTAGAGCCATACTCAAATGGTATAATTTGTGCATTTACATTTCACGTACACTTGTGTACGCGAAGTTTGTTACGGTACGTACGCGGTTCAGCGAGTCAAATAAGATACTCCATTACGAAATGCACGTATCGCGTGAAGAATTAAAGGACACACATTTGACAGAAATATCTAAAACTCTATTAATGAATTACCATATAATTACATATAACTACGGTCAAACAGAGTAAATAGATTTAAATAGTTGAATATTTGAACAAGTGTGCAGGTACAAAATTTTCACTAGCAATCAAAATGCAACGCCAAATCTATACAAATGTCCTACAAAGTTATTGGAATTACAATCTATAGTTCAGTTAAATTTAGCTTTAATTAGGAAAGTTTTGCTAATAACATTTCGTTATATCAAACAAATAAAGTGCAGAAAGACTTTCGTAATAAATTTTAAGCTTTAAGAATCGCATAAAGAGATAGAAGTCTATGATAGTTTCACTTTCATTTTGCTGGTATTTTCACATTTGTAAAAATGTATATTGTTCTAAATGAATATTATTAAAAAAAATAATGTTAATGCGCGAGGTGACACTACAAATTTATTCTCGTTTTGAAAAAAAAAAGAAAAAGAAGACACGTTGTGGTGACAAAAATTCTATAGGATATAAAAACGGGAGACAGGAAATTTTGGTTCGTTATATTTAATTCGTTCTCTCAGATAAAAGCCGTTGCGGCTAGCATTACATTGTAATTATGATAATGTTTTTTAATGGATATGGCCGAATAATAACCATCGTAATGTTTTAATGTTACCACGTGAAGCCATACGGCTAACGATTGCATAAAACTTACACACCATGTGTAGAGTAATTAAATACTTTTTCACCGTCACATTGTGGCCGGAAGGAATTAATTAAACGATGAGAATGTGAAGCATTTTCATTCGTTATTAAAGCTTCGTAATAGCTCTCAGTATCATTTGCTGTACATCGGACCGCGCCATAGAAGGTCATAAAAATATACATATATGTTATTACTTTCTCGTATTCTCCGCTAATTTTATCTCTAACAATAAGTATTTTGATACACCGTACATCGACTCAAATATTATATAACATAAATATATTATACAATATACAATACAAGCATATTGAAAATATTATACATATGTATACATATAGAATATTATTTTTTAAATATATAAATATTACATTATTTAGATTTTATTAATCATAACATTGGATGTTATATGTATATGTCTTAAAATATGATTATGTCTTCAAAGTTATTTATTTTATGCTTTACTTCTTTGATTTCTAATTTTTTATCAAAATTACAATTGAGAGTGAAGATATTTTATCCATCCATTGCATAGAAAAACATTTCTATGTGGTTTTCAATTAAAATGTAAATTGGTCTTTTATGTCAACAAAAACTAAATTATAAAATTTTTAAGATGATTTAATCATGATGTACACAGCATTTACACAAATAAAAAAAACGAAAACATTTATATAAGCTGTACTAAATATTAAAATATATTTAGCAATAAAATATCTTAATATTTTTTGAAAATGCACATTAATTAATATAGTTTACTAAATAATTTACTAAATTCTTAATACTTTTGGCGAGATATTAATACTTTTAACCGAGATATTTTTTTGCTTTAGTTTGAAACTCATATCAATCTAATAGTTAGAAGAGAAGATTCGCTTTATTTACTGAGAGTATGTGAGCCTTAGTTTCCATCCGAATCGAGGTTGAAGTTCGAATGCGATTTCGAATCTGCGCGTTTTTACTTGGCAAGAACCTCAAGAGACTAAACGGAAGTGCGAACGCTGATAAAAGTTGAGGATACGTACTCGGTGCAACATAGATACCGCTTAGATGCGCGCACGTAGCGTATTCTTCGGGGATAGTGGTCAACGGAACGTGACGTCGTATAAGGCGAGCAGAATATCAGCTGTGGTTAAGCCGGACCAAGTTGAACGTCTTGAAACGTTGCGCTCGAATACTCTGGATAATAATAAAGTTACATATAAATGTTTTGCCTACGCGATATTAATATTGTGAAATCAGTATTGAAACGTGATTATTACACGTAAAAAGACTTTTGGATAAAAAATATGTGATAATTATGAACGTAACAAAACTAACTTCGGATATAGGTTTGCTAAAATATTGGAGTTGTACAAATATAAGACCTAATTTGTATAATTCTCTGTATCAATTTGTATTTCTCAGTAATACAGTTTAACTTTTACGATTTAGTATAGTATTATCAGAATACATTTAAACGTACTATAGACGTTCACGACAGAATACGCGTAAGCATTAACGACTCTTACCGACTATACCTACTTCTAAGTCGCGTTATACAGTCGCTACTTTGGAACTCCGGTTTGCAATGCTATGAAAGAAAACAACTTTATGACGCGAAATGGGAATTGTTGCGTCGTAAAGCAGACTCGTGGCCCAGCATATACGCCGTCGAGGTGATTCCTGCCTCCTTCCTTCCGATAAGAGGCCGATAGTGTCGAGCCAAGAATCACAAAGCGGGCTATGTATTGGAAATCGTGAAACACACTGTCATACCCGCGGTTTTACTGTCGCGAGATCTCTCCTGTTTGTCTTCGGTTTCCCTCAGCTGGCAACGGTGAAAGAGCGCCCTGCCCAAAACTGTCATTGTCACAGCTTTTGCAGTGTCGAGGAACAGTCATTTCGGCGAAGGAGCGCGGATGAAAACGACGCGAGGGATCACGAGCGAGGGAAACGGAGGAGAAGGAGGAGGAGGAGAAACGAGGGAGCGCGGGAAGAAAGTTTGCGAACGCTTAACTTTTCCATTCCTCCTCTGGGGTCTTGTCCTCGTAAAACGGTTCCCGGACATCCTCGCCGACACGTCCGTCCGCCCGCCCTCGGCTCGCCCGGGCTTACGGGGGGCGCGCGTTGATCTGTCCGAAGGGTGCGCGAGGCACGTAGCAGCACGCCGCGATATCTCGTTTCGTTTAGCTCTTAACGAGTTTGCGTGGCTCCCGAATGGCTCGTAATTTTGATCCGGATTTTGGTCTGAAAACTTGAATTGCGCGAGTGCAAATTAGTCTCCTGTTAATTCTCCACGCGAAAATTGAGAGTAAAATGCACGGTTAATGTCCATAACACTCGAATAATCCCGGATTTGAATCCCGATTACCTGCAGTATTAAGATGTATACGAGTAGAGATAACAAAATATGTTAAAATAATTGAAATTGAGAAATTTTAACAAAAAAGTATATGAAACTTCGAAAATTTCTAAAGAGTTTTCAATTTTACATAAATTCTTATCTTTTGAAACGAAAAATAACATGTCAAAAAAAAAATCAATAAAAATAACTATGGTCAGTTTTCAATGATAGAGAAAGAAATCAATAATATTATTTATATATATCAATAATGCTATCGATTGAGATAAATTTTTACAGAAAATTCTTCTATATTTTAGTGAATTTCATCAATAATTTCTTTCAAATTCCACCGTCATCGAAATTGTCTTCGCTCGAGATTTCGGTCGTACTTCGCGGACGTATCATTCACCCGATAAAGAATCACGGGCGCTCCGATGAATCCATAGACGATAAAAAGACACTCGTCCATTGAAATACGACGACGTTATACGTTCGCGATTGCGAGAGATGTTGGACAGTTTCGTCTCTCTCCCTTTCAGCCGCGGATACGACCGTGAGAATATCGTGTATGCCCGGTTATTTTTCCTCGCCCTATTTACGCGACGATGATAGATGCAGAACGTTTTCTTTCTCTTTTACCCCGTCCGCGCGTATATCCTCCCTCATGACCGCCGCGCGCGTTCCTCTATCCGCTTCCTCCCTTCCTTCCTTCCTTCCACCGCCATTCAGCCCGAAGCAATCGCTGGAGCAATCCCGACTTCTTATTGATTGCGGCTCGGGGAACTCGTGCGTGTAAGGCGCTCAGCCGTCGGTCGAACACTCGCTATCCCGGCGAATGCTTCCTACGTCGTTTCCATGGAAATGAAAAGACACAGAAGGCACACCGAAATTATTTCGCCGTCGTCGATCGTCGTCCCGCGCGCCCGCAATAATTTTTCCACCTCACTTTATCACTCGGCGCGTAACACCTCCCTCGGGGGCCGTACAACGCGCGAGAGATATATAAGTTCTCGCTCGTCCGATATCAAAATATTTCGCTCCGATCCTAATATGTATTTCTCTATAGGTTGTCTCGATCCTCCTTTCCCGAACCTCGCGCTTCCCCAATTCCTCCCGTAATTCACTCGACCTCGTTCGTCGTATTTTTGAGAAATGCCGCTTCCAAATTTTTCTACGTCTCCCACGCGAAATGGAAGATCAGAAGTTATTGGAAGCGTACGCGGGAATCGATACGCCAATTATAATAACAGGATTTGC